TTCTTCTTCTTCTTCTTCTTCTTCTTCTTCTTCTTCTTCTTCTTCTTCTTCTTTTTCTTCTTCTTCTTCTTCTTCTTCTCGAGCGCATCACACTTGAAGTTCGGTATCTATCATTATAATTATATTATACTGGGTCGTCCTGTTCAGTTCTTCTGTTGGTCCGTACGATACAGCTTTTCTTGCAAAGTGCCAATGTTGTTGGCCCTAGGGTTGGCCCAAGGACCTTACAAAAAAAGGGTTGGCCACGTTTCCTGTCTCAGCTTAGCTTTAGTAGAGGGTTTACGGCGCTCGCAACTGTATAAGGTCATATGAGCGCCTGAAGCTTGGAGGGGTTACAAGAGAGTAACAAACATAAAAAGGAAGGAGAGATAAGACGATAGTTGTTTAAAAAGAGAGAAGAAGTAAGCCTCATCAGAGCACCCGCCAAACCACCCACTTTCCTGTCTCAAGGTCCTGTGTATCTTGCACTGCTGGAGGATGTGTGCCACAGTTTGGTCTGCTACTCTACACTGACATTCTGGTGCCAGTCGGCTTACTAAGTTAAAACATCTTTAGAGTATTATTGTTTTAAGCTGTTTTAACCCCCCCCCCCTCACCCCTCAAAACACTCACCACTCTACGCCACACCCTGAGTCAGCGAGACCTAGATATCTGTCCCCGTGCTTTTATGCACCTTGCATAATTTAGCCAAATTTGATCTTTTTTTTGCACAATTTCTGACTATTTTCTTTTATCATTCTTTGGTAAAATTAACAGAATCGCATAATTTCACATTTTTGGGCTCAGTTTGCATAATTTCAGAATTGTTTTTGCATAAAACCGCGGGGACATGGGTATAAAGGATTTGTTTCACTTGCTGCTTGACGATTGTAATAACAATACACATTTCGCTACCTCAGAATTACACAGAGGTCTCTGCTCATGACCTAGTTTTGAGAAATTTGACGTAAAACAATTGGAGTTTCACATTATTCCAAGATTTTTTTTAATGCAATTATTTGAATATCTATATTGATGACGACTCTGAATATTCTTACGATTTTAATAGAGCAGATGGAAAATTTATTGGATTTCTGACCCTATGGTCCTAGTAACTCAAAAACAGCCAATGTCAGATAAAATGTTGTAATTCTCAGGTAGCGGATTGTTTCGACTTCCTAGTGTGTAAGTCTCTGTCTCTATCATACGTCACATTTCAAAATAGCATTCGAAGTGGTGAAATGGTATAGGTTTAAGACCCCTATCAACTCTGTTAGCTTATTTAAGAGGCGAGATCTCTGAATTTAACGTCAATCACCGAAAGGACAGAGCCAAGTGGAAAGTTCTTGTGAAGAGCCTTTCCCAAGGACACAACGTCGGGCCGAGATGTGGCTCGAATCGCCGAACATGCAATCTCACGATTACGAATCCGGTGGCCTTAACCACCAGGCTACCGACGCCACAAAATGACACATTATTAGGCCTATATCTGTCCCCGGGGTTTTATGCACCGCGCATAATTTAACAAAAATCTGATCATTTTTTGGGCATAATTTCTGATTATTTTCCTTTACCATTTTTTGTTAAAATTAACAGAATCGCATAATTTCACATTTTTGGGCTCAATTTGCATAGTTTCAGAATTTTTTTTGGCATAAAACCGCGGGGACTGCTATAATATAGATGATATGTGTGGCGAAGTCGAACCCCCCCCC